AGATTATAAAAATAGATTTTGTAGATAACCCTAAGAACTTTTTACATCAAAATTATATACCATGATAAAATTTGAAAATGCACCTTACCTCTACCCCTACGGATGCATCCGTATGCCAAGTGCACTCTTTTAAAAATACCGGCGCACACGCAGCATAAGGGTACCACTATTTGAGGCTTATCTTCTTCATTGAGCGTGTAAGAAATTGATATTACGGATTTCTTTGTCTCGCTCTCCACTTTCTTACTAACACGAGTAAAGTATAGGTATTCAAAACCAGTGTTTAAAAGATCTGCCGATTTTTAAAAACTTGGCTAACTAGTTTGAGAATGGTCAATGGCCGATCCCGATCTGGCCTGATTCCAATAATCATGTATGGAGGAATTTTTTTCAGTGCATTAATCGGACGACTAATCGGCACTAATTGGTTGATTACTGCAACAATCGGTTGATTAGTGCACTAATCAGTGATTTGTTCTAAAAATCGGCCAATAAGTGCGCTGTAACAATGCAGAGTCTGCAAAGTTGTCCTTACAACCTTTTTTTATATATTTCTCTCTTTTGTTTTCTTTTTTCCTATTCTTCTATGGACACAGTTCTATACTGCCAACTCGCATATTGTAGAAATGTGGGCTTGGCAATAAATATATATTCTAAATATAATTTGATCCTATTTTTTTATGGAGATCATGAATATAAACAAATAACAACTTGGAAACTCGAAATAATAATTATATTAAGAAAACATTTGAACCGTTAGTTACACTTGTTTTTAGATGGACTAGCTATTTGCATCCATCTTTACCTCTGGACCGCATAGTGTAGAAATGTGGTCCACCCCACATGAAACAATTTTACTTCTTCTATTTCTCTATTTAAAACTTTATATATTATTACAAATTTTATTTGCTAATTGTAGCGTTTGTCGGGTTGGGCAAGTAGACACAGACGCACCAGAGTTGGTTAGGCCCGACAAGGTGCCAAGCCTGTAGCTCCCTCAACTTGAGGTTAAAATTTACACGTTGTTCATTTGATTTGATCTTCAATCTAATACGTACACCACCATTCCCCAAGGGGCACATAGACATACACATAGACACAAATATGAGAGAGAGAGAGATGGAAATTTATCAAAATTGTCACTAAGAGACGAACAATTATATATAATTTTATTATTATATGATATATTATATATTTATATTTATTTTATTAATATAATTTATATTATATAATACATAATCATATATATTACATAATGTCTATTTATTATATATTGATCACTGAAAAGTAATCCTTCAAGCGCTTAATCATTTTCTCTTAAACCCGATTATGCTTATAATATTTTTTTTTTCTTTTTTATGTGACAATATAAAAAATAATACATATAAATTTTAAACATTTTTTTTGGGATTTTGTAAGTTTTTTGGGATTTTTATCAAATTTACATTTTTTTCAAAAAAAATAGAAGCACTAATCGGCCGATCTAGTCAGAATCGGTTGAACTAATCATATCACGCCAGGACAGACTAGTTGGCCCGTTCCGTTGCTTTGAACACTCTTCAAAAAAAAAGGATCAGTCTAAATGTCCCTCCAACCCTCTCTCTTCGAGGTTTAAATAAATGTCTCCAAGATAATAAGGATGAAGAAATATGAAGTCTTTCTAGGAAACCGCCTCTCTCTCCTGAGTTGGTTTGATAATTTATTTGAATTCAAAAATATCTTCAAGAGTTTTTATGATATTTTGAGCTCAAAATATCCTTATATATGAATTTAAGCTTGAAACTACCAAGATTTGGTGCCATATTGCATGAGAGATTCAAGGGAACGCAGTTATTAAAATCCTTCGCCGATCAAGCCAACAGACTCTTCCAACATGTATGAGTGTAATCAATGCCATTCTATGATAAAAACTCTTTCCTATTTGAAATTTTTGTGAACGTGGATCTAAAGACAAAAACAATGGGCCAAATTGTTAGGGATTGATCGGTAAAAAATCAGCAAGTGTTTATAACATGCACAGCTATTGTGCATTCATATCAATATAAACAATCAATGGAAACTACACAATATCAAAGCAAGAATATAGAATAAAAAAAACCAGCAACATACATTTATAGCGAACAATAATTGAACGTGGTTTGGTCACAAATTGTGACCTACATCTATAAGAGAATGGTGTGAGACTTTACTTACTGAATTGAGAAGATTACAAGGTAAGCCCAAACAGAGCCCAAAACCATAGCATTTCTAACAGTCATTTTTCACTCTAAACAGAGTGAGAAATGAGTTCAAAACATCAATTTCCAACAGTCATTTTTCACTCTAAAATAAGCCCAAAACCAGAGCATCAAGAACACCAACAAATGAGTTATCTTTGACACTTTCTCTCACTAAAAGAGGCACACAACAAACCCACAATGGGCTCAAGTTTTTTCTCACTTTCTCTCTCTAAAACAGAGCATACATTAGCCCTCAAGAGAAAACCCAATTGCAGTCCAATTTCTCTATCTTGTTCCTACTCTTTCTCTCTCTAAACAAAATGGTTTTTAATCTCTTTACTTTCTAAAGTTCCTACAACATCACAACCATTGGACAAAATGAAAGAGAGAAAAGTCAAATAAAACACCTACATGTGCGATTTATTTTTATATCTGTAACAGTATTTTACTTGAAGACAAATCACTAAGCCTCTAAACCAACCACCAATGCACCATCTCCATCATCTCGAGGTTACATTTCTTCCAACTATGAAAGTCTTTTACACATCGTATTCTTTTTAGTTGAGACAACAGTTTTCAACATATCAGCAAGGTTCTTCTCAGTGGGAATCTTGTCTACCAGCAAATCTCTACGCTCGAGGGCCAACCGAATAAAATGGTATCTGACTTCTATATGCTTTATCTTAGTGTGATAAGCTGCATTCTTAGTCAGATGAATAACACTCTGGTTATCACAATGCACAATGTATTTATCTTGTTTCAACCCAAACTGGTCAAGTAACCTCTTCAACGAAATCATTTCCTTCGCTACCTCAGTAAATGTCCCATACTCAGCTTCAGTTGATGACAAGGCAACAATTTCTTGCAACTTCGACATCCAGCTGACTGCACACTACCAGCATTGAAATTGTATACAGTGGCAAACCTTCTAGTATCACTGCATCCTGCATAATCTGCAACTACATAACCAACAACTTCCAAAAATTGAAGGTATGTGTGGGAATTTTTTTTGAATTGAGATTAGTCTATAGGTTGTAGAGATTACATCCCCAAAAATTGAGATCTAACAAATATCCCTAGCATGTGATTTGCCCGAGAGAGTAAATGGATAATATACTTTCGCAGGAGTAGGAAGTCTTTTGGCTTAATATCATTGCCCATAGAGGAAAACAATAGTAGTGGAAAACAATAGTAGTCCTTTATGTGATTATTAGTGGGTCGATCCGGGCTGGAGTTTTTTTTAAGAAAACATCATATCTTCCTCTATTA